AATCGGGGACGTGGTGAAAATGTTGGAGGGTATTAGAAGTTTCGGTACTGGAAATAGCCAAACTTCTGGTACTAGGTCTCCTGGTTCGACTCCGAATGTTACTCCACATTCGGGTGAGACCCCTGGATTTCGTGAATAGATTTTTTTTTCTTTTTTCGTTCGACTATATTCTTTGTTCTTTCGTAAGTTGTTAGTTTGTGCCAAGTGTAATGTGAAGTTATTGGAGTAGATTTGTATTCTTGGTTTTCGTTGTTCGGAGATTTGTTAACGAAAAATAAAAATAAAAGGTCGAGAAATCGTGTCTGTTTATTTTAAGGTGATTTTTTCAGTGTTTTTTCTTACGTGTGAAGTACGATGGATAGTACATTGTAATATATCGAGTAATTGGATAGTACATTGTAATATATCGAGTAATTCTTCGACTTAGATTCACACACATATACAAGTGGATGTACGTAAAACGTAATTTTTCGACTTAGTAACTCTGTGTTCAAAGTTGGTATGAAAAAGCATGTTATATTCCAATAATTCACACTAGAAACTTTACATCAAGCATCAAACAGTGAAAGAAAAAGGAGATTTAATTAGTTTTCGATCATCTTCACTTTCCGGGGACAAAGTTAGTAGCATAAGACCAAGCATTGTTGTTAACGGGATCGGCGAGATGGTCGGCTAGGTTCTCCAACGGACCTTTTCCGGTAACAATGGCTTGAACAAAGAAACCAAACATTGAGAACATTGCGAGTCTTCCATTCTTGAGTTCCTTTACCTTGAGCTCGGCAAATGCTTCCGGGTCGTCAGCCAGACCCAACGGGTCAAAGCTACCACCCGGGTAAAGTGGGTCAACAACCTCACCAAGGGGCCCACCGGCAATTCTGTAGCCCTCAATAGCTCCCATCAGAACAACTTGGACACCCCAAATGGCCAATATGCTCTGCGCATGGACCAAGCTTGGGTTGCCCAAATAATCGAGCCCACCTTCGCTGAAGATCTGAGATCCGGCCTTGAACCAAACCGCCTCGCCGAACTTGACGCCGTTTCGGGCCAAGAGCTCCGGGAATACACACCCTAGAGCTCCAAGCATGGCCCATCTCGAGTGGATCACCTCCAATTCTCGGTTCTTGGAGAAGGTTTCCGGGTCGGCCGAGAGTCCCGCAGTGTCCCAACCGTAGTCGCCGGGGAACTCGCCGGTGAGGTAGCTGGGGGCCTCGCCGGAGAACGGGCCCAAGTACTTGACACGATCAGGGCCGTACCATGGGCTGCTGGAGGAGACTTGCTTCGGCTTGGCGGCGGTCTTCCTCATCGAGACTCTTCCGACGCTGTTGGCGGTGATCTCAGGGGCGATCTTCACCGCCTGCCCGGCGAAGGATGGGGAAGAAAGTGACATTGTTGAACCGGAAGCCATTGATTCGAATGTTGGATTGCTAAAGAAAATTGGAGGTGATTGAATGGTTAATGGGAGTAGCTGATCAAATCTACTTATAGGAAAGGATTGTGATAGTTCTTTCTTACTGACGATATCTATATCTATATCTATATCTATATCTATATATGAGTTTTGATTGGGGTTTCAAGATTCTATTGTTTGTGAGCCTACCACCTGGCTTGCTGCATTGCTTGGCAGTTTTGACAGTTTCTTTTCTGTCCATCTGATCTAAATCTATATCCTATTTCTGAGATTCTGCAGGTCTGATGTATGTCATCCAACGGCCAGGATTTTTTCGTCTATCCGTTGAATGTCTGAAAATTATCATCACCTTGGCCCAATTCTTGAACTAGTGGCTTCAGTTCTCTAACTCCATTTTCTGCTTCTAGTTGTCTAGTCGGTAAATTATAAGGTGCGACTAAAGATTTCGATCGGTTGAGGATAAAGCCCGGTTCGCTGGAACTAAAATTTCAAACATGTATGAAATGATCTTCACATATTAATTAATAAGTCATTGTTTATTTTGCATTACTGCTTTCCACTAGAATCATAGTTTAACTGCTTGTTAACACTTCTCGTTTATCATTATGCCAAAGAAACGCACTCTTTATAAGTAAATTCATATACTCTGAAAACCACGTATATGTATATAAAACAAGCCGGCAACACTGAATTACATTGAATAGAGTATAAGTGCATATCAAAACATATCCATTTAAACAAAACGAAAGAAAATATTTCACACCTGAGTAGAGAGGGAAACAATCAAGAAATACTCATATTACTTGGGGTACAAAGAATAATAAATCAATGTGAAGATTCGTTATGTATTGATCTAATATATACTTAAATGCATATACGGAATTCCCTACTACACCAGAAAGCAGATGAAACATTACGATCGAAAACACCTTTACAGCATGAAAAATGCCAATTTATGTGACCTTAGCACACACTTCTGTAGCAATGAACATACCCCTACAACAGCAAGTACAGGATGGCCAAACCAACTGGGCAACTCATTTCTGCACAATTCTTGTTCTTACAGCACCTAAGGAAATTATATAAAACGTGTAATGATAAAATAGTCCATGTAATTAACTGCTAAGCAACACAATTCCCAAGTGAAACGTAAACTAACCTTCCGTGTCCTCAAATTGAACTTCCTTCACCATCTCTGCGGATGGATTATACTCAAACCTGCAGTCATTAAAATCAACTGTAATTAGACAATGCAATCATGCAAAAGCAGGTAAAAGTTATTTATTATATTATTTATTTTCCGTATGCGAAGTTTTAACCTTTAATATATATTTCCCCTAAAGCACATTCTCTGTCAGGCCTAAGATACCCTTATTTTGACCATGATTAAAAATTAAAATGAAGTGGCGCATTATCACGAAATACAATCAATTTCTCATTTCATGGTTCAATAACACTTCAATCCAAGAAAATCTAAACTCATCTGTCTATGTCAAGAGAACCCAACATTTCATCCGTTTACAGATCAAAAGCTCTTATATAAGGAGCAATATAGATGAACTATTTTGTAGTTCTTACTGTTGGAAGAAAAATTCAAGACGTCATATAGCAGAGGAATCTTCAGTGTGCTTAAACGATAGGAAAATTAGTATTATAATGTAAAGTAAGCCAAATTTAAATGTCTCGTCTATGCACATAATATGAAAAGAACAAGTTGAACAATAACATACAAAAAAAAAAAAAGAATAAAATAATCAGATTACCTGTTAGATAGGGAAACCTCAAGTTCGTAATCAGATGCATTTTTGGTGGCATCTACCAACACAGTCACAATTTCCGTCTTTCGTGTACTAGCCATGAGTAAATCGTATTCTGTGGGAATGATAATGGCAAAGAAATTGTCACTTAGTTCACTTAAACAAAGTTTCTCAACAGCGGCTAGGGCTATCCTTCTTTTGAGTGCATCAATATCTGGGTCCACAATGTAGATAGCACAATCAGTAATCAAAAGTATTCTCCGTTTCATCTTCCCTGATCCAGTGAACTTTAGAACTTTATCCGCAAAGAGAACTTTTCTATCACCTGTGTGATATAAGAAACAGAGGGAGCTTCAAGTTTATAGTAATTACTAATCAAGATATCACACAAACATTGAATTTTATAATTTTGCATAAACAGTGAATTTTATCTCCAACAAACTATAATAAAGGAACCTATGATCCGATAGATAACAATTTACATGCATATCCATTTGGCTGTCCCATATGCCATCAGCAATAACTTACAAAGGCACCACTTACTTTGGAGGTACAAAATGTTTACACCTAGTAAATCGATCCTTCTCGAATATATTCTTAGATATTTTCATAGCCCGAAACAAAATATTTATCCATAGTTTTAAACAGTAGAATAAGAGTTATGATACAAAAATATAAACCACAGTATCAAAGTAGTTAACAAAATAGTATTGATAGATAAATCATTTAATTTCCATTCCAAACAAGCTCGTTTCAACCAAGTGACTAATCAGAAAAGTGTGCATTCCCACCACAATACTTTCAAAAACATAGTATTTCACACAGAGATTTGTTAATTTTCAAGTATTATAGTATTCCCCGCCCTCCTAGATATTTTCTCACCCGCTTCGACATAATCCAGGCTTGTTCCGTATATGTGTTACTATAAACAACAACAACATCTATTCTAATGGTCCAATTTCTTCGAGAACAATCAGCTTGGTACTAGAAACAATCATCAAACAAGCAAATGATATTATTTCATGTTCTTCATCATCAATGCACAACACATTCAATGAACGAATCAAACAACTGGAATTATTAATCTAGAAAATTCTCATGACGGAAATAATTAATAAATGTAAACAAATAATAACGAACTCGGGCATCCACCGAATATCAATCCACACGGAGATCGACAAAATTCCCCCTCCAGTAAAGAAGCAAAAGAAAATCAAACCTTGTTTCTCGAGAATTTTCATAAGATAAGGCCTGGTTTGAACATCGAGGTAATCGCCGACATAATCCCGAATGCGAGAGGCTTTCCTGCGAACTTTGACCCCCATAAACGGTTCCAGATCCTCCGTCACATTGCTTTCAGACGGCTTCAGTTTCAAGTTGTCGCTTCCGTCAGCGCCACCGTCGTCGCCGTTTAGGGTTTCATCGTCGACGGAATCGTACCGGGGAGCTGGGGGTTCGGCCGCTTCGACTTGTACCCGGCGGCTGTATAGAAATCGCGACATTAGCAGAATATGGAGAGAATACGCAGCACGATCGGCGGCGGCGGCGGTGGTGGCCGATGAGCTGCAATCTGGTGGTGGGTTTCGCTCGCCTGTCAATTAGCTGGGGAAGGCGTATTTGATTGAGAGAAGAATAATTAAGAGGATAAATTGTAGTCAACGAATATTAACGTTGAAAATCCCGTCCCCTGAAATTTGAATTAGGTTTATCTTGGATTTTCAATTTGAATTAGGTGTTCTAGATATATGTTGTTTCAGTATTTTCTTTCATTTCTTTAATTTGAAGTCTGTATTCTTTTTTATTTTTTTTTTTTTTATAGAAATAAAACAGGTCAAAATTTCATAAAAAATAGGGTAAATTACAATCACCCTGATGTATGGTCAAATTACAAAATTCCCTTCTTGTTTGGATAATTACAACCACCCCTCAACTATAAATATTTTTACACGTCCACCTCGCGGTTTCAAATTTCGTCTAATTTTCGAAATTATATGGATTATTATCACTTTTGTATCCGTTTTATCCGATTCGAACTCCACATTTTGAAGCAAGATGATCATAATCTGTGTTTTTAAGCTCGTATATATCAGATTGTGGTGCGTCAGAAACTGTATTTTTACACGAAACGAATACAAACTAGAGCACATTTCACGAAATATATATGATTATGTTGAATTTGACACCATAAGGGTGGATGTGTAAGAAAAAATCATAGCTGAGAGGTAGATGTAATTATTCAAAGAAGAAAGATTTTTTTATAAATTGACCATACTTTAGGGAGTGGTTGTAATTTACCCTAAAAAATAACAAATGATTTGTGTATTGCTTATGAAATTTGGCACATTGATCAAATATTAAAAGTATAGGGATACTGCACATATTTGTATCGAAATGTATAAAAAGAAATCATATATAAATAAAAACTTACATATAAATATACCTCTATAATTTTGATAATTACATGTTCTCTCTAAGTTATTTGTATCCTTTTCTTTGGGAGATGTCGTTTCTATATATTCGTTTTCCCGTCTCACTGTTACCATGTCCGTGTTACAATTGGATTTCTTGCGGAAGTTTTGGTGTAAGTAATCAACGGCTGCAAATATGAGATACACTAGATAATTTTATATAATAGATTTACCATCATACACATATGTAGTGAAACTACATTTGATAAAAGTTCATAATGCATAATTTCGGATCAACCGTATTTTAAAGGGGGCAACTAAAACAAATCCCAATTTTTTCTCACTTCAATACCTCCAAGTTTAAAACCATTTTTTATAGAAGTTTTTATAACTTTTTCTTAGTTTAAAACCATAAATAAATAAAAAATGCTAGCAAAGTACAAAAATGCCCTTCATCAACCATAATACAATTTATACAAACAATTTTTTTATTCCTCACTTCAATACCAAGGAAAAAAAAGAAAAACAAATCCTCTCTTCTTCTCCCCAAACTCAAATCCCTTAAACCCTATCTTCTTCATCTTCTTAAATCCTCCAAAACATCTCCAAATTCAAAAAATCAAAACCTCACAAAACTTATAAAATAGAGTTATAAGAAAATAATATGGTAGTATATATGGAAAGAGAACCCATTAAGGTAAGTATCGATGTCTTTTTTGAGCTTCGAAGTCGATTTTGAAGTTTTTTTTTTGACCCCGTCGGCAATTTTCGACAAATACAGGTCGATTTTTTGGTCAATTTTCGACACCAACGGTCGAAAAAAAAAAAAAAAAAACA